TTTTAATGCAACAATGGCTTCTTCCGCCGACAAAAATCATTGTCCACACAATTTATTTTTGACGTTCGGGATTCTTGTTCCTGTCATTGGATGTCAAATCAGGACTGTGCTGAGAATGACCTATTAATATGATTTTTTGAATGTATCCAAAATTCGGTTATTAGGCGAGATGTGTGCGCACTCGCATTGTCCTGTTGGTGCTGGAGAATGATTCGACGGCGTTTGTTTGTTTTCCATATTTCACTAAAGACTTCCTGTAAACAAATGGTTTTTCCTTTCAAAATTTACCGTCTTACGTTCCTGTATAGTTGCCACATGATAAGTTTTCTCGTAAAAATAAGCGACGCTTCGAGCACGAACAATTTTTATTGGATTTGGTTTATCTTGAAACATGCATACAGTCGATTGCTGTTTACGTTCTGACTAATACGCATATATCGTTGATTCGTCACCTGTTACAATTTTATACTCGTATATGTCTTTTGAAGTACCGTCATTGTACTTCTAAAGTATTTGTGTGCACCAATCCACTCAAGCATCTTTTTGAGATTTTGTCATATGATGGGGGTCCATGGATTCAACGAAAATAAACCTTTCTCACGACTAAATGATCGTGCAATATGTTATATATGCTAGTGAAACTAATACCTGGGGTTACCTCAATCTCACAGTATGTCGTATGACGATCTTGCATTACGAGTATCAGTTTTTGCACAGCATTAATCTTTTCTGGCACAACAACTAATTTTGGACGACTTTCACGAATTTCGGCAGTAAGTAAACTACTGCCACGATTAAAATCATTGTACCAGTGGCAGTGTTTTACAGTGGCAAATGATGGAGCGTCATCATCAAATGGGGAAGTAAGTTCATAGTAAGTTCGATGCACTCTTGTCTTGATAATCAATATCCCACGTCGAAATTCGTAATAAATCATCGCATTAAAATTTTCGCACTTTAATTCCATTTTGTCGAGAACACTCAATTTACAAATCACTGTAAATAACACAAATAACGCTCTTTTGACGAAAAGCCTAAGGTAGGTTATGTTTAATAATGACAAAGTTTCGTATGAAAACGTCAGATATGATATGTTACATGAATTATAATTATGTATAGTTTTTTTTTTAGTTAAAAATTCTCTTAGTTGAAAAAATGAAAACAATGTCTTCAGTGCATATTTTAATTACAAATCGATCAGACCGTGGGGATCCGAAACGGTTTCAGCGATTTTGTAAAGGGAAAAAATTGTTAAACAGTGTCGTTTAAATTGTTTAGTATATGAATAGGTATAAAATCAAATATATCAATTTCTCTGCAAAATATGTATTATATATCAGAAAATCTTATACTCTGCATTTCGGCATAAAACTATATAACATATTGTTGTGAATATGAAATTTAAGTAAACTTTGATATAATTTCTAGGAATGTCAGTTTAGTTTAAAAATAAGTTATGTATAAGTTATATATTGTGATTATTAGAAAAACTTGTATTTGTGTTTAACAAAATACAGAACAAAATAAATACGGTTACATTACACTCAAGTTGACTATAGTTATATCATCAGGATCCAGTGATCGCGAACGACTACGAACGACCAGGGTGGAACAAACGCAACAATATTTTGAAGGAAACGTGTTGTCCTAATCTCAAAATAATGATTTCCTCTTTATGTGTCCTAATAAGTGACGTAGTAACCAAATTGATTAACCCATTTCTTACCTCCCTCTGGTATACTATACGGCAAGCTTTGAATAATTTTTAAAAATAAATGAAAGTAATTAATTCAATGTTTTTTATTTTTGTTACTTGGTTTGGTATCTTAACAGTATAAAAACACGTACATATTTCGAACAGTTTTCGTCTGTCCATGAGTTTACCTGGTCAGAAATAAAAAGTGTTAAAAGTGCTATTAAAAAGCACTTAATGGGTTAAATAAATTCGGAATATGACAAATAAAGCTGCTTTCTAGCATTATTATAATAATATACAGCACAATTTTTTTACATAAAAATTAAAAAATATATATAAACCTTCATAGATGTGTATTAAATACTAGAAAATTTTAATAAGAATATGAAATAACTCACAGCAGTACAGTACAAATATCTATAGTTCCATCATTATTGAATCCGAGATTTAAAAGAGATGAGATAATAAAAAAGAATCTTTGTTGTTAATCTACAATAAATTGCAGATTGAATTGATGCATATTTCAAATCAAATAGAAAAATACATATATACTTACAGGACCCATTACTTTCAAGTCAGTAGTAGATAATTAGTACAGTAAAAAGACTATAATAGATAAATCAACATCATTACAAATATCAGCAATATCAATAATCCTGGAAGCTGTGGGTATTGGCAATAAGCTATGAAAATATTACGATATAACTTAATATCGAACAGCAGTTTATGTCTTCACTGGAAGTTTGAAACTTTTTAAAGAGTTCTTAACAGTTCGTTATTTCTGTGATTTGGAACGTCAAACTATTTCTTTTTAAATCTATTAAATTGTGGATTTAGGCTTATTGGCCAATTGCAGTGTCTTTGAGGCAACATTGATAGCAGGCTGTTTAAGAACACGATCACCAAAATGAATTTCACTGCAACTTCACTGGTAAGTAACTCAACAACATCTTTAGGATTTAAAATAACAGATTTTATTTGACGATAGACAAATTCTCAAAATTTCACATGCTCGAAAGTAAGTTACTTAGTTAAAATGTGTATTTTATTTAATTTCTCATTGTATTTTCTAAATAGCGAAAAATAGAGATACTTATTTTACGTCTTCAACTTTAATATATATTTCTAAAGTTGAATGTTAAACGGTTTCATTTATTCTAATTATGTTAATCATCATGGATTTAGTATTCTAATATTTTTGTCATTCAAATTGTGAAATTGTTCCTGTCATGTTATATTTAAAAATATATTGTGATCTTTGATTATCAGGCACATTACCAGAGACTGTAATCCCTCTCCGAATTGAACCATTGAACTGTAAGTACACAAATACGAATACTATTGATTGATATGCCTTCTAAGGTCTTGAATTTGTAAAAATACATTTATGGAACTTATTTCTCAATAATAAAATATCTCGTCAATCGCAGCACCCAGTTTTGATAGATCGCTTTCTGCCTAGTTTGAGTGTGTTTGACATAAGTTTGGTTCACTTTGATATTGCAATTCATTCAAATGAATTGGTTTATATTTTATTAAAAAAAAAATTAATGCAATTAATTACAGTTAGGGATAATTTTTAATCCTAAGCCCCCTGAAATCAAATTGTTGGTTACGGGCCAGCTGACCATGAAGCGCATCAGAGTTGATGCTGTATTACCATCTTATGTATCCTCTATATAAAAGCCTCCATCTAACACTAGAAACTTGTACTATTCGCATAGAAATTAGTTGATAAGAAAAGCGTAAAGAGAAGGCGAGGTATGCCGAATACTCCATTAACCAGCTATTAATTTCCTTAGAAATGTTTCTTTTAAATAAATATTACAATCAAATTTATTGCATTTTTATTTTATTTTATTTAGTGGGTAAATCCAAATACTGGATTGAACTCGGAAAGAGTATTCTGTTTTTAGAAAAAGCTTAATTTGTAGTTATGTTATGTATATTAATTAAAAAATTATGTATTCGAATTCTTCATAAATTTAAATTTTTTTAATAACACATAAATATCTTAAAAATTTATATTCCGTATTTTTATTTATAGTTGTCAACTAAATGTATATAAATAAATGAATATATTTCTCTTAGTTTAATTAATATATTATATTTCTCTTAAATTCATAGTACTGATTACTTTAAAAACGTGATTGAGGACAATTTCGATAGCTTATTTTTATTAATAATATCAATCAAAATCTCAAATCTGTCCAGATTAGATTAGATTGGATTTTACTGCAGTCAATCTTTTTTAAGTTCGATGAAGAGGTCTATTCAATGTATATATAATAATATGTTTTTATAATTGATTAAAAGAGCGATTGCACAGATTTTAAGAAGATAGTTCACTTCATATTTGTCTCCCTTCTCCTGTTGACTTATTTTAATATATTAGATTGGAGCACCATAAATGTAATAATCATCACAAATCGAAGGTATCTTGATTTTTGTACTTTTTCACCGATTCATTGATATATCCGTAAGTTCATTATTTTTTTTATTTATTAGCATTCAAAATGATGTTTTAGAATAGAAATTTTTTAATATTATTAAATTTGCAATATATTTAACTCAGGTTCTCTGAGTATCAAGCTCTTCAAAGTACCTTGATACATCCGCACAAATGACATGACAAAAGACCTTAGAATAGATCCGGTCAAAAAATATATAAGAGACAGAGTCCTGAAGCTAATCGAAAACTGACAGGCTGCCCTGCTCAGCACTATCTAATTTCATAATAATCTCTAGCCGCATACATAAATTAATCAGTGAGAAGGGTGGAACTATGCAGAAACCTCCCACCTATCAAAGAGTAAAAGTGCCCAGATGCACTAACTCAGAAAAGACAACATGAATTAGCATTCTTTAATATATGTATAATATCAATACTTATTTTGTCATGGTATTTTGAAAGTCTTTTAGTTTTCGATGTACTTGGCAAATAATTTTGGTATTTTTTCTCATAGAAATGTCACTACCACAGTGCTGGGCTTAGTAGCACTAATACTAATCATCAAAACATTAAGACATTTTTGACAAGGAAAGATTTCGAAACCTTTTCGAGGAGAGTATACATGTAATCAAAATGACGTATTAGTATATTATGACGTTTTTTAATATTATTAAATTCACAATGTAATTAACTTTAACTGTGATTTATTTTTTGTGCATTTTTAATTTTATGTGTCAAAATACGAAATCATAGAGTATGCCGTGAAGAATAAATAAAAATTAAATAAAAAAAATATATAAAAATTATTATTCTAATTTTATTTAACGCAATTATTACAATGATTTAGAAAATTATCTCAACTTCTTAATTCAGAACTTTGCAATAAATTTTAGGCATTACTAGATTAGACAGTTTGTTTGGATAAAAAAAATATTGTGCAATAATGGACTGCAGGCGGGTAAGACTTATTCAATATAATTTATGAATTATGTTGATGTTGATTGGTTTCATTAATAGTTCAATTACGGAGGAGGTGACGTCGACTATGAAGCACTTCCGTTGCATCATATAATCGACTATTACAACTTGCCACTGGTAGGAGGAATTCATGCTAGCTTCGTATTTCCTGAACTCCAGCATCAAGCGCAGCTACTATTTCAGGGGGATGTTGAAATATTACATAATCGACTTAGACGCCAATTTGAAATTCCTGATTCAGCGTTCGACATTTCCTTTCAACATCTATGGATTGGGTCCACCATAATAACTTTTGAAACATTTAAATTTAAAATGGATTACAGCCGCGACAACAGACAAAAGCAATTGTTGTTCCAACAACGCTTGGATCTATTAATCAAAGAATATTACGTCCGACGATTGGTGGAATTAGCAGAGCTCGGCTGGCAACAGTGGACCCAAAACCATGCAAATAGAAATTCTTGAATTTAGCGAAACTGTAAGGCAAGGTAAATAAATATATAATTACATATATTTTGGTTATAATGACTGTTTTATTGCAGTTGGTGTGAATTACAAATACTCCTTCCGCCATACTACTACTCTGAATACATTATGTAGATATTGATGCCTGTTTGACTAAAGTTGGCGTTAGTTACTATATTTCCTCCATATTTATACTTCGTCTTTGTCCATTTATTACATATAATTTTTCATAATTTTGCATAAAAATTATATAAATATTTCAAAATTATTGTATGTTTCGTCATCCATAAATTCAATTTGCAATTAAAATTTACTGTTTGTCAACAGCATATAGAAATTGTGAATATTTTGAGAAATATATTGTTTTAAAATAGTAAAACAAGAATTATACAATACTCATTTATTTTAAAACTATTATGAAGAAATAATGTGTATGTAATTCATTAATATTTATACCTGAAACCGAGTACTGAAATATATATCACATAATTCTCTCATAACCTCTTAGCGCGTCATTCTATCAACAAAGAATATAATAGAATAGAAGGATGTTATGTATGTGACAGAAATCCCATATATAACGTGAAAGCAGTTTTTAACTAAGTTAATATTACTGGTGACCCATAGCAAGTCGATGTTATCATGGTTGGTGGCTGACTATTAGATAACTTCCATGTACCTCAATTAGAGATTTTTCGCTGTTTTGCTATCACATTCTTTGTAAGAACCCCTAATATAGAAGAGTAAAGACTAACTCCACACCGTCGAATTTAGATAATTCAATAGGTCTCTCGTCTTCACCGATGAACTGTGCGGTAAACTATCAAAGAGGTATCTTCCTGAAAACGTATTTCTTCTGGACACCAAAGCTGGGCATTCACAGAGAAAATGTATTATGGCTTGTTTTTTTTCGTGAGAGTTTTCATAACTTCTGCAGTATGGATTATAAGAAATGCGCAGTTGCTCTGCGTGGGTTCCTATAAAACAATGATCAGAGAGTATTGCCGTAAACCTTGCAGTGTTCACACATAAGAATTGCAGTGAATGTTGCATATGACTTAAGTACTTTCCATCTGTTATTGACAAGTTGAAGAAGGTAGAAGTGTATCTTTAAAAAAATAAAGCGTACCAATGTGTGTTATTCATAAAGTGTAAATACAAAAAATATCTCATTTGATATATGTGATCTCCCAGGATATGGATGTAAGTTTTTGAAGTGTACCAAGACATTCCTCATTAATGGTTTCCACATTGGAAACCATCGTCACTAGAACAAATATATTAGAATTAAGTTATAATTATTTTTATTATTGAAACCGAGTATCAAGTAGTTATGGATTTATATTATACTGCGGCACTTTTTCTGTTATATGCTACTCGTTTAGCTCTCCTCAACTTAATTAGTAATTTATCTACTTTTTCAAGTCCAATTTATACAATCCTCATATTATTTTAGTTAACCCAAATTATGATTGTTATTAACGATATATTTAATCGAGTGACCTTTGAATTTGTGTAAAAATCTGGCATTAGTTAAAAAAATATATAAAAAATTATATAAAAAATTATATAAAATATTATATAAAAAATTGTTCTTCAAAATTGCTGTTCAAAATTTGGCCTCCCGCAAAACACTCTTAAAAGTAAGTTAGGAATTGAGTTATGGAAAAAAATGTGATATTTTAATTAATTGTATTTTAATAGCCTTGGTGGAAGAAGTTACCTAATGAAAAGATCAGTGTAAAGTTGAATTCCTTGAGACAATCACAATTACAGTGTAAAAGTAAGTAGAACATTGATACGGAATGATAAATTGCTAGCATTAATAATATATGCTAAAGTATGTTTATGATGTCGAATTGACCTACCATTCCATTATTCATTAAATATATTTTTAAATTTATAATTTGAATTTCGATGCCGCGCCCAAAATTTGAATTGTATATAATCATATTAGTTGCAGTATGACTTTGATAGTTGCACTATTATTTAGTTATAGATTGCGATTTCTTCTTCCGTGCTGATACCATTATTTCGCAATTTTGGATTTTGTTGAGTGTGACCTAACTAATCATATTTTAAAATTTGATTATCAATTGGCTGCTATTCTTTTATAAACCATAGTCGTTCATTCGCATTCGATCTAGGCCATCATATTCTTAAAATTTGTCTCAAGCATCTGTTGATAAAAGCTTGTAACTTTTTTGTGATGGCGATTGTTTCAAACCGTGTTTTCGAACCGCACTACAGCGCGGTTTTAACATAAGCGTTAAACATTTTTATTTTTGTTTTTAATTGTAAGTCCCGTGTTCTCCAAACTTTGTTAAAACTGGCAAACGCACATCCAATTTTACGAAGCCAATTGATGACGTCGTCGAGAGCACCACCGTTAATGGTTAAAATACTTCCGAGATATTCAAACTGAGTGGCTTCTTGTTCAGAGTTTTCATCTATAGTAACTTGAGCGTCATTATTAGCATTGATTCTTACAGATTTCGTTTTATCAGTATTAATGTCTTGGGAAACTTTTCTAAATTCATTTTCTATATTCATTTTCGATATGTGTTATCTGTGTTTGCATATCTGCGTTATCTGGTGATATTGAAACTAGGTCATCAGCATACTAAAGGTGGTCGCTTAGTTTATTACGCATTCCTACATCTATACCTCTCTGTTTCATGATGGAAGCTCCTAATACAGCTTCTAAGATTCTGATGAACAAAAGTGGGGATAAAGCACATTATTGTGTCACTTCATTTGTGGCTAAGATAGATTCGCTAAATACACTATTTTGTAGAACACGGCAAGAAACACCGTCATAGCTGCTGTTAATAGACGTGGCGTAGACGTGATCTACATTAATCATGTATCATTTGCTTCTGTGGTCTTTTGTTTAATCAAACACACTTTCTTTTTCTTGGAGTATTGCTTTGATTAGACGTATATTGGTAAATTTGCTAATTATTTTGATCAAAAAATCTGTCCTCTCATAGTATGATTGCAGTAGCATGAATGATCTGTATTGTCGATGCACTTTAAGGTTGAAAAGTAGGGCCGCATGCAAGATATTCTCAAAGGCTTGTGTAATATCTAAGAAAACTGCCGTACAATGTTTTGTCTTTTGCACTATATCTCTAGCAAATTTATAAACGTAGTGAAGTTTCTTGGTTATAGCGTTGTTGTGTTTTTGGAAGAAAACTTCACCAAAGACGTGAGTTGAAATCAGATTTCTTTCTTCAACTATTAGGTTAAGCGTTTTTAAAACCTATAATCAATGGTTTTCATTTAAGAATAATTTGTGCTACTTTCAGTTGTATGTTGAATAGTCTTCATAAAACATCGATTTAAAAATAGGTACAATAAATTAGCTTGTAACTGAAGATAGGTAGTTCTTCTAGTGCTTTACTCGTTATAAAATCGTAATTCCGAACTTTATTACATTTAAGAACTTTGTGTATTATTCAGTCAATCCCTTTTAATTTCTACTGAGATAATTCTCATTGATTCTGTTTGAAGCGATTTATAATGTGTTGACTTTAAGACATGATCAGGAATAATAAATAACATAGAAAAGATTTTTTTCCTATTATTTCCGCTACAATAGCCGTCGCAACATGACCTTTGTTTATGTAATATTTACAGTGTTGGCAAATAAGTAAATGACATATTAGTTCCCGTAGATCATAAGAGAGCAATTTCCCCGTAGATCGTAAGAGTGAGTAGATTTAAATTTCTATTATTATGTTTCAAATGTATTTATTGATTCTTTATCAATTAATGTGTATATTTGAAAATTGTTTTTCTTGTAAATATTCAAACATTCATATTCATATTTTGCTCCCACTCACTTGAATTCAATTAGTAAATTTTTTTATTATTTTCAAGTCGTCCTATATGTGAGGTCCTTATATCATTTAAACCAATGTTTGTTGTTAATAAAATGTTCAATCAAGTTACATTTGAATTTATATAAAAATATATATCTGACTTTAAAAAATTACTTTTAATTTTTAGTTAAAAAAGTTTTACATCAAAATTTGTCATCAAAATTGCTGCTCAAAATTTGGCGTTAAAGAAAACACTCTTCGAAGTAAATCAAGAATTTACAAGCATATTTAATTAATTAAATAATTTTTATTTATTTAATTAGGAAAGATCAGTGCAAACAGGTCAACTTAATTGAGTTTTCAAAGTATGTAAAAGAACATACATATATGAAGTAATCTATTTATTGATGTCAGCTTAAACATATACTTTTACGTTTTGAAGACTGCCAAATCGATTTTTTCCAAAATATTACTAGATTTACTTAGTGAATAACTGTAAGTAAGTATAAACTATTGGTATTTTAGTTAGTAATTAATTTTAATAACATCAATTTTTGTAGATTACGATATTTTTTCTAGTCTCTAGTATTCCGTCTAGCTAATCGATATATTATATTGATTGAAACCTACAAGAATATAGAGGTAAGTGATATTCTATTTACATTATATTGCAATAATATAATATTTAATCTTTGTTTTATTTTAGTTTAGGCATTGTAGAAGTTCCCTGTTTATTATCAAAAATTAGTACACTGGCGCTGTGAGAAATCTTATTGAAGATCTTATTGAAATTTCAGCAAACCATTTACTTAGGCTATTGATTGCAGTGAGTATATAAAATATATATAGAGATATATTTGTTGAAATATAATTAATTAAAAAAAAGAGTCTATAATGATCGACGTGTTAAAAATAACTGAATTTTTTATAAAATACTTTACTTCTACCAAATACATCAACACAAACTTATTTAAACAAAAACTAGTTTTTTTTAAACAATAATTTTGTAACAATATTCTTTGTTTCCAATAGAAATGGGTTTCCATTTAAACATTAAAACGGATTTTACAAAAGCCTTATTTGTCGATATTGTGCATGAAAACAATAGCTGTGAATTAAGTGTGCGATTTCTCCCAAACGAGACGCAACTCACTGCTTCTGCCACTGAAATTGGAGATAAGGTAGCTGTGAGTAATGAAGAAAAAGGATCTGTGTGTTTTCATGCAACAAAATCGACAAATACAGTTTTTGAGGTTAAGGATACTCAACCCACGCATAATAAGGTCTCATATAACGATATAAACTTTCAAAGGGAAAAAGGGATACAATCTTTGTATGTGCGCGCCTCTAAATCAGCGAATGTTATATATGAGATGGACGATTTAGTGTGCACAAAAGATACTATGCGCTCGAATTATATTTTATTTAATAGCAAGGAGTTTCAATCGAATAACCGAAAGCAATCTCTGAATATGTGTAGATCCAAGTCCGATAGTGAAATATTTAATATGAAAGATCGGGAAGATCATGAAAAAGGAAGTAAACAATCCTTACGTTTACGTGTTAGCAAGTCAGAAAGCACAATGTTTAATAAGAAAAACTCTAAGAACACAAAATATTCTGAGCGCATCGACGATAATACCTTACAGTCGTGTGATGACAGACCCGGTTTATCGAAAATACGGAAACGATCTTTATATCTGTGCATGTCAAAATCAACCAGCGCAATAAGTGATATGATCGATTCTAAGTACATATCACTTGAGCATAAGAATAAAATGAACGCACATGATGGTCTAGACTTTGAAATGAAAAAATGGCAGCGATCTTTGTATTTAAATAAATCAAAATCGTCAAATGCTTTATTTGGAATAAAGGATTTTGAGTACAGAAATGAAAAGGCCTTTTGTGGTAGTATTACTTGTCAATCCAAGGCAGAAAAATTATTCCGTTTAGATGATAGCAAGTCACGCAATATAATAGCGGAAGCGAAGGATCCTAAGCATTTAGATAATACTTTGTTTGCTGATACATTTAGTAAAGCAAATAAATTGCTGTACCTTCGTTCTACTAAGTCCATTGATTCAAGAATTAATATTAAAGGTTTTGAACAGGTAATTAAAAGCGCTTTGTGCTATAATTTATATAAACAAACGGAGCAAGAGGAAAAAAGATTGCATTATTTAAATATTAGAAAAATTATCAATAATAGTCATGAGCCAAAAAATCGTAAATGTGCTGATAATGAATATGAAGCAGAAGAAAAAGAATCTTTGTATACTAATGCTAATATGGCAACTAGTACCGCCTTTGAAAATAAAGATTTTGAATGCTTTAATAATACAGATTCTGAAACAGAAGGAGGTAGAAACAAATATTTGGCCCCCACTTCTAATGAAGTTTTTGAATGCTTGAATAATAATCATGAATCAAAAAATCTTGAGTGCTTAATCAACAATAATGATAATGAATATAAAGTAGAAGAAAAAGAATCTTTGTGTCCCAATGCTAATGTGGCAACTAGTACCGCCTTTGAAAATAAAGATTTTGAATGCTTTAATAATACAGATTCTAAAGCAGAAGGAGGTAGAACAAAATATTTGGCCCCCACTTCTAATGAAGATTCTGAATGCTTGAATAATAAACAATGTCGAATAGAAGAACAGGAAAAAGCATCTTTATCTTCCAATGCTAATCACGTTACCAGTACCGCAATTAAGAATGAGGATTCGGGCTGCGTCAATATTACAAAGCATCAAGCAAAAAACTTCAAAAAGTCACATGACGTAAGTCATTTAATTAGGATCGATACTTTGATGTCAGTTTTAAGTATTCCTGATAACATAGTAGTTGGTCAGAAAAATATCAATAATGAGAAGAACACCGAACATTTGGATAAAAGTCAATCATTAAAGGTTTCACCTGATGTTTCAATCGAAACACTAAATAGCACTAAAAATTATTGATAAAATATCTAGTATTTGAACACCTAATTGAAGCTGTACGTATTAATTTTTATTTTGTCTCAAAGAAAACTGAAGGTGACAATAATATAAAAAGGGGTTTAATGAAGAGTGTCAAAAAATATATAGCTACATAAGTTTCGGATTATTTACTTCAAAACATAAAAAATTAATTTGTGAAAATTTTAATAAAATTGGAATATGTAAAACTTTAGTTACATCGATTTTTGTTCTATTTTTTCTATTATAAAAGCAAAAAAATTAAATTAGAAATTAGTTTTCTACTTTTTAAACAGTCACGACGATAATTTTTTTAAACTGTTTGTTGAAAAATAGAAAGAAAGCATTATCACACTAACGGTAATAGGATTTTAATAAGCAATCCTACCTGATTATTTATTTCCCTAGTCACTGTGTCACTACTAGAAGCAGAAACAAAAGTTTCCAAAAGCACTCTTCAGTTTTATATATTGGGTACTTATCAAATTAAGAATAATATATGAGAACGATTCATTTTCTGGATACAAAAAAACAATTCAGTTCATTGCTATACCAGCAATTGGTGGAACAACGCTGAATAGTGGAAGAGCAGTGGAACAGCAGTGGCTAGCAATAGAGATGTGTGAGGAAAGATGGTGCAGGCAGGTCATTAATAGAGAGTTAAAATTTGGACAACATTTCACGTGTATGACCATGATGTGGAAGCATATAGTAAAGAAGAAATTTAAAAATACCTCTAGTTAAAGTTTGGTTTGGTAATATCAGAACAAAATATAATAAGAAATTTACAGGACAGGTTAACCACATAGCTAAATATCACGCAATTATATCTAGTATTTTTCGTTCAAAAAGAACCGACCGTTGGGCCATTCTAGCGATCTATTCGTTCGAATATCTTTGTTACACATTATTAATTTCTTACTTCGAAATCTATTTCAAACAAGAATTAATTAGGCATATGTTTAAGATCCAATTCATTATCAATTTGTTGTTTAAAATGTGATAATACCCTCTAACTTGAATTCGCTATTGAATTTCTGAACTTTTCGAAAATATTTTCCTTAAATTTTTTTACCATTTGGAAGTATTTTTTCACAGCGAGCCAAACCAGGTATTTTTAAATATTCTCAATGACGTTAAGCTCAGAAGTAAAGAGAGATCCTGTCGGACACTGTCACTCCATGCTTTTGTAGGTCTTTCCGATTTTCTTGTAGTTCGAAATATGTCTTCCAATACTCGTACCGTTTATTTAGGCATACTTTTAACGTCTCCTATCCGTTCAACTTTAATTAGTTGAATAATTCTAAATGGTTATATTTGATACGATATATTCCATATTTCCTATACCGGTACAAATAATTTCCATGTTATCTTTCTTTCAAATTCTGTTAACAAGTTTACTTCTGTTTGTAATAATCTTCAGGCTTCACACCGGTAAGTTACTATTGTCCGTATTATTGTTTTATATATTATCTTAGTTTATCTTCATATTTTTTTAGTTGACATAAGCTTCTCCTTGTGTACTCGGACTTGTTTCCAACATGTATTCTGTCTTGAATATTCACCATTGTTGTGTTCTTCGCGTTGAAAGGCACTCCTAACTATTACTAATTATATAAACTAAACATTTAAACACTAAACATTTTTTTATTATGTCAGTTGTTATTTTATTCCACTATGCGATAATGTATTCTATTTTGTTACTATTTCTACATATGCCGACTTTACGTATTCATCAAAATAAACGTGGTTATTTTTCATAAAATCCATTCATAATCCAATTATATGCACTGCTTTTATTTTCAATATAAACTATTGAACGTTTATCTAAAATCAATAAAGAAACAATGTATGTCAGTTTTATGTTCGATACATATCTCCGCCACTTGTGATAACATAAATATCCGATCGATCGTACTTTATCCTACATGAAATCTGTATTAATATTTTGTTAATTCTTTTTACACTGTGTGTATTCAATTGTTTATAATTACTGTAAATATTTTATGTACATATATATAATTTAGAATATAATTAATTAATTCAATTATTCTACAGCTGGTTTATGATTTGGTTCTATTATAAACAAAGCAAGTGCATTTGTTAATAAAACTTGTACAGCAAATTAACAAAAACTTCAGAAAAATGTGCGAACATAAAAGTCAAGTGCGTCTTTCGGTTAGTTGGCTAACGAATACTGACTCTGAGCTTCAAATTTGGAAGGACACAAGTACGATTCCTACAACTTGCAGTCTCAAAATGAAATATTATTTACGAATAATTAAATACAAGAATTATATCCAAGACCACTGATGATGAGTATTTGGCAATACTCAAAACAGCTGTATGGTCAGCCAATAATTCAATTAATTGAAATAATATAAAATGATTTTTTGTTGTTGTAGTTCTCTACTGTTCGAAAAAACTTCTTTATGAAATATACTAAGTTTCTATTAAATAAAATAGTCGCTTTCTTCCGAAAAATTTGGGTTTAAATTACAACTTATATATTTACAAAACAAAGTATGTAATCATTTTATTTGTCTAATGTTAATATACTTGAAAAATGATTTTATTTTAGATTTTATAAAAAAATTTCTATAACAGAATTGATTTCAAAAATTTTGTCTCACAATTTAAAGCAACAAATTATACTCTACGTGTTCAGTACGTAGAGGCAGTTTCGTTAACAGTCTTATTTTTTGGTATTTATTTTACGAAAATGTCTGACACTGACAAAAATACATCTAATCAAAATTTGGAAGAAAATGTCGTCGAGAGCGGAGATCATGAGGAATTACCATGTGAACCACAGGATGGTGTAAAAACAGCAGAGGAATTTTCCACAATATGTAACGAGTTAACACAAAAACTAACAAAAGATTTGAGTTCATGTGAGGCGTTATGGGAGCTATTCATAAGCGCGACTAAAAGCTATGATAATATTAAGCCTATGTTACCATATCTGCCCAAGTTTGTTAAAAACCATGAACATTTATTGGTATTGATTCAGAACACTCCGCATTTGCGTGAGATGCGTCGCGAATGGATAGAACCGGATGAATGTAGTGACAAATTATCTATACTGTTAGTTTATTGGGTCCTCTTTGAATTAAAAATGCCAACATTTGAAACACTAACTCGCCAAGAGGTTGATAAATTGGTCGCTACTTTAAAGGAAACTCGCACCGTTATTAAGCCCACGTACATCTTCAACGTAGACTATAATGAAAATTCTGAAGAAGAACAATTATTTATAACCCGAAGCTCTCAATATCCAACTAAGTTTTGTTTTTTCGGGTGCCCTGCTAGCAATTTATTTGAAATTCTAATAAGAGGATTTAAAGTTTATAAGCACCAAAATAATAGCAACTATGGCATACCATTTAATAATCAGAGTTTACTTGTATTAAATGACACGCCCAGCACACCATGTTGGGGAAAGTGTTCATTCGGTGACTCCTTCCAGGCAGTCGCATTATGTGAATTTATAGAAAAGCCCGAGTATTATCTTGCCAGATATGATGAGCACAACTGTTGCCAAATACACGTACAACATCCGGATATGGTTCGTATTCGCTATGTCTTTTTTTATTGTGAAAATGCAAAGGCGCCCACCTCTAGTAAGAAAAATTGACTTCAATGTGTTTATAATATTGGTTTCTTTCAAGACTCTGTATTCGATAAATCAGATTGTGTCACATATGTTTAGATCTTTTCATTCGTTGCTTTAAAAATTTTTTTGAAATAAATTTGTGTAGATAAAACAGTTCGGTTTTTAAAGTGGTTTAGCTTAAGAAGGAATATATTTTATAGTTTGAAAGACTTTCAACTTTTATTAATATATTTATTTTGGAATAATATTACACCTGAAATGTTCAAGAGCTTACTTCTGAATTAAGAAACTGAATTAGATTGCTCTAACTAGAACATTTTAGAAACCCCAAAAAAATACAAATCAATTTCTATGTGACGTGATATTATTTAAAATATGTTATTATATGATTTGAAATATGTAACATATGTCAACTTTACTATCCAGAAGCTACAAGTTGCTCAAAGTTAGGGTCTCCAAAGACTCTTCAAAATGCTATGGTACATCTCGTAACATGCTAAGAGACCCTAGAATAGACCCGGTTAATAAAATACATAAGGGACAGTACTCTGAAGCGAAAAATGTGCGAAAACTGATAGGTTGCCATACATAGCAATATCTAATCTCAGTACAGTTACTAGCCGTACGGGACGGTATTCAGATCTTAGATCACTCATCGAATAATTAGTGACGCTTATGAGGAATACATAAATTAGTTAAAGAGAAGGGAGAGATCCTGTAGAAACCCCCCAGTTAAGAAGGAGTATAAGTGCCCAGTTGTACTAAGTCGAAAAAATCTCAACATAAGATTATAAATAATATGAAGATTGTTTTATTTATATGATAATTAATATATGATTTACTATATATAATATATAACATATAATATTTTACAGTTGTCTGTATATATTTATGTAATGTAATGCAATTATGTAATTCAATTATTCTACAGCTGGTTTATGATTCCGTTCTAATATAAACAAAGCAAGTAAATTTGTTAATAAAACTTGTACAGCAAATTAACAAAACTCCAGAAAAATGTGCGAACATAAAAGTCAAGTATGGCCTTGGGTCAGTTGGTAAGGAGCGCTGAATCTGAGTTTCAAATTTGGCAGGGCACGAGTGCGATTCCGGGTTCTTGCAGTCCCAAAAAAAAAAATTTATTTATGAATAACTTAATACAAGAATTATTTCCAAGACCACTGATGATGGGTATTTGACAATATTCGAAACAGCTACATTGTTAGCCAAAAATTCAATTAATTAAATTGAAATAAAAATGAATTTTTGTTGTTGTAGTTCACTACTTTTCGAAAAACTTCTTTATTGGATAGAAGTTTAGTGGTTCTTGTAATTTTCCCAGTTTATTTTATTTTCTTTCTTCTATACTGGAGAAAATATCTCAATATACCTCCATTAAGTTGATATTTGCGCTTGAATACTTAATACTTAATTTGCATGTCGGGTGACCTTAATATTTTACAACAACTCAACTACGTAAACGTCGCTGAAGTCATGGTAGAACCAGTAAACTCTGATCACACATACATAAAACAACTTCTAACTGATGATGATAGATGGGTTTACGAGTTTCACACGCAAAACAACTATCATACGAACTTCAGTATGGAGCTGAAGTCAACAGCTATCAACAGACTGAACCGAAACTGAAAATTAATCAAATTTATGGAAATAAAACTCATAGATTGTATACCATGATGATGTACCATCATACAAGTCCGACATTGTAAACCAGTTCTTAGCCAAAATCTCAACACATTTTATTGAACAGCTACTGTGGTTTTTTAATATGGATCCGGCCACTTTTTGGTTTTATCAAATTACCTCTTCGAGGCAACCGTTTTCAACGAACAGATGACATAAAAGATCATTCGTGACAGGTACTGAAGTCGTAAAAGTATTATTTCAGAAGCGGTCAACTTTAAAGATAATAGAATATATTTTGATAAATAATGTATGTTTTGTGTGCTATTGTTTTTTTTTCACATAGTAGTATTGATTTTATTTGGTGCTTCATAGTGCATTTTTTTCACAAAATAATATTTTATTTATTTAGTTCTCCATATATATTGCAAAGCAGCAATGGTCGATAAAAAGATAAAAATTTAGCAGAATGGGGCATGAAATGAAACTTGTTCATAGAAAACTTCAATATTTTTAAAGTCAAGGTTCGATTGAAAGATCTAATCATGATGTCCGTGATAGGTTTATAGCTTAATTACTTACTTACTTATTTGGCCATAAAAACCCGTTACCGACTTTAGAAGCGCGGATGGAAAATAACTGTGCTCTTCAATTCGTGATTCTGACAAGTTCCTAACAAGGACTTGCCAAATGTTTGGAAATAGAAGGCAAAAGTTGTTTTCTTTTTTTTCCTTAAAAGGTTTTTTTCTTAAATCTGTTTAAGATATATGAAAATTAATAATACAGAAAAGCTATTTAGGACTTAGACAACGAAACCGAAAAAATTACACAGGAATCTTAAAAATAAAGTAAAATACTAAAAATTTTAAATAATATAGTTTTATATTCAGGAAAGAGAAAGTGATAGAGTAACCAAACGTGCCCAAAAATACATAGAATGCAATAAATTTGTTCACGTTAGAATTAAACGCCAGAAAGTTCTGTGACCTGAATAGATCTATTGTGAATAATATATTTACGTTATTTGCAATGAAACTTATCAGAAAGAGGATTATAGTACAAATGTTGTTTAAGGAAGAATATCTTTGGCATTGACACTCTAGAAACATCTGCAAATAATGTAAAACGCTATTCGGATGTTAGTAATATAAAGATTTAGCAAATGTTACTAAAAAAAGAAAATGTTAGTTAACAAATCAATTATCAATTTTAAGTACCCTTTATATACAAAGAAATATCTAGCAGTAATAGACCCTGCATATGTATAGTATAATATACAGTAATTTGATTTCCGATGCGTTATACATTCCAGAAGACAAATGTACATTGCGATAAATAAATGAATTTATTTTTTTGGAAGTTACAATCCCAGCATTATGCCAAATAATAATAAATTTCCAAGAAATTCACTTCATGATTTGTAGTTTTTGTAAACAAATTAATCTTTGAGATAAATAATCGGCATCAAAAAAATAGCATTCGCTAAAACGTTGATATGATTGCACTTCAAAATTTGTGCGTTTTCTTTATAAAATAAAAACTTATGTGAAATTTGGATTCTACATAATATAATTTTGTTTTTTATTTTCTTCTTTCAGTGAATTTCGACTGGAATTTTGAAAAGTAATCGATTTGTCACCGAAATTTTATAAACAAATAAAATTGAATTTGCTGAATTATTCTACGAAAATAAAAGCATGAAAATATCTCAGCTTTGCATATTGGAATAAAAACATTTCGTTTTGCCTTGAACTCAAAATAATTCCATAATAAATCAGATTAATATGTACATATATGTACGACATTATCCAAATAGATCCTACATATATTTTAATAACTTATATGGTTTCAACCTATCCAAATTATTGATAACATGGAAAATTTACATATTTTCGTAATTATTCTACTACGAGTACTTATAATCGTAGTATTCAGTATATAGATTGCATAAGCAATTATTTAGTATGAATGACCCTATAATAAAATTGGAGAGAAAATATGTTTAAGTTTTTAAGCTCATAGTATGATTTGAATATTTAAATAAATGTTTTTCAAAACAAAATTTAAGCAAGTATTTAAAGCTATTTAAGCAACAGCTCAACACTCAGAAAGAAGCTTACCATACACGATGAATAAGAAAAACTTCATACCATGATATATACATATTATATATAAATAAACTTCATAAATACCATTAAAAAACATTGTCATGTTTCATAAAATTTTCGAAACATTTTTAATAAAGATGTAAATAAGTATAAAATACACCATATAATATACCATATATGTATTAACAAAACTTTTTTCATTCTTTGATACAACCTTAAATAACGTAAAATTTAAATAAATAATATTACAGAATAGTATTGAAATTTAACAATTAAAAATAAATATAAATTATTAATTCAATTACTGGTTGATTTATGATGTCATTCTAAAATAACACAGCAAATGGATTTGTTGATAAACAAAAACTTTCACTGCAAATTAACAAAATCCAGTAAAATGTGCGAACATAAAGTCAAGTACGGCCTTGGGTCAGTTGGCTTATGAACGCTGACTCTGAGCTTCAAATTTGGCAGGGCACGAGTTCAACTCCTGGTACTTGCAGTCTCAAAACATTATTTAGGAATAATTAAATACAAGAATGAAAACCACTAATGATGGTTATTTGACAGACAATACTCGAAACAGCTGTATGGTTAGCCAAAAATTTAATTAATTAAAATAATATAAAAGAAATTTTTGTTGTTGTAGTTCACTACTTCTCGAAAAACATTTTTGTTATTTAATAAATAAATAATACTATTTGATAAATAAATAATAAAGAATATTATTTAAAAAAAAATTAATTTTGTTTGAGAAATAAATAAATAAAATTATTTAATAAATAAATAAATAATATGAATGAAGGTATTAAATGAAGTTATGAAATCGAAATATAAAATAAAAGTTTCAAATGTTTTAAAATTTATCTCGCTGAATTCTTGGGCTATTCCCATTTCCCAAGATGTTTATTAACATTTTAGATTGCAAAACAAATTATTTTTGTTTTTAGATCATTTGCAACAACAATCTTATCAGCGAATCTAAGGATTTGCGAATATTTATAGATAGCGGATATTGATCATCAAAGGAACCATTGCTCTTGTATGATACAATTGCTTCTTTATTAACTTGCATAATAGAATTATAAAGTTCTTAGTAATATTTTATTCAACGTTTTTAAATATCTTTTGTTCGATCTATTACTTAAGTATTCTTATCATGATAGCTGTTGTCGTTGTTTTAATCTGCAGGAATCTGAATGCAGATAACATGTAAGGGCTACAAGATGAATACGTCGGCTAGGATGTAGATTGGTGATGGTTGTATTA